AACCACTCCTTCTCAACAATGGTGGCAGCAGTATATTGACAGAGAACTTCCAGAAATACAAGCTGGATTCAGAAGAGGACGTGGAACAAGGGATATCATTGCTGATGTCAGATGGATCTTGGCTCAAAGCAAATAATACCAGAAAGATGTTTACTTGTGTTTTATTAACTATGTAAAAACATTTGATTGTGTGGACCATAACAAATTATAGGTAACACTGACAAGAATGGCAATTCCAGAACTTAATTGTACTCATGAGAAACTTGTACATAGACCAGGAGGCTGTTGTTCCAACAGAACAAGGGGATACTGCATGGTTTAAACTGAGGGGAGTGCGTCAGGGTTGTATCCTTTCACCATACTTATTCAATCTGTATTCTGAGCAAATAATCTGAGAAGCTGGACTATATGAAGAACATGGCATCAGGATTGGAAGAATCATTGACAACCTGTGATACGCTGATGACACAACTTTGCTCATGGAAAGTGAGGATGAGTTGAAGCACTTACTGATGAAGACTGAAGACTACAGTCTACAGAATGGATTACACCTCAATATGAAGAAAACAAAAATTCTCACAACTAGACCTATAAGCAGCATCACGATAAATGAAGAAAAGATTGCCGTTGTCAAAGACTTCATATTGCTTGGTTCTATAATCAACACCAATGAAAGCAGTAGTAAAGACATTAAATGATGTATAGCACCAGGCAAATCTGTTGCAAAAGACCTCTTTCAAGTGCTGAAGGGCAAAGATGTCTCCTTGAAGACTAAGGTGTGCCTGACACAAGCCATGATATTTTCAATCACCTCATATGCATGTGAGAGCTGAACAAGGAATAAGGAAGACCAAAGAAGAGTCAATGCTTTTGAGATGTGGTGCTGGTGAAGAATGCTGAAAGTACCAAGGACTGCAAAAAAAAAAAACACTAATACATCTGTCCTGGAAGAAGTACAGCCGGAATGCTGCTTAAAAGGAAGAATGGCCAGACTTGGTCTCACCTACTTTTTGGTAATGTTTTAAGCAGGAACCATTCCCTGGAGAAGGATGTCATGCTTGGTAAGGTGGAGGGTCGAAGAAAGAGGGGAAAGCCCTCAACGAGATGGACTGACACAGTGACTGCAACAAAGTGCTCAGGTATATCAACAATCGTGGAGCTGGCGTGGGACCAGGCAGTTTTGTTCTGCTGTACACAGGGTCACTATGAGTCGGAGACAACTTGACAACACCTAACAAAAACCACCACCTCAACAACCATCCATAGCTCCTTGTTGCCCCTGCAGCCTGGCATCCTATGCCCCTCCACCTGCCCAGCCTCTGCTCCCTCCACCTGGTCATGTCCATGTCCCCCACCTCCACAGCATGGCTGAGTCCTGTTCTCTGGCCCAGAGCCCAGGTTGGGTTTGAAATTCACCTGTACTTGTCAACACCAGCAACAGTGTATGTGAGAAACATTAAGACCTACCTGTAGCAGGCAGCAGAACGTCACGCCTCACAATGCTGTGGTTCCACCCACGAGCTTGTCTTGGGGGTAAGCAGTCCCCATTCCGATCCTTACTGAGCTCTTTTTGCCCGGCTCCCTCAACTTGTAGCCAGGGTCCTTACATGACGTCTCCAAGGAAACCTGTGAAACCCAGAGAAGTCTCCTTTAGGTCTGAGCCTTGCTTTGACTTTGTGTAAAATGCACTGTGAACCACACTGGTGATGCTTGCCTTGGCCACTAGGGAACTCAGAGTCGACCTGGCATCCACGACCCTCTGGCAACACTTCACACATTAGTGTCTCTCCTGGGTTCCTCACTTCTCCACCCCCCCCATTTCCTCACAGAGTTAAATTATTTCATGATTGGTCCGCTTGTCAGCCTCCTCCACTCTTTTCAAAATAAAGACTTACGGGAAGGCTGAGTGTAACCAACAGCAAATGAGCGGTGAACCCTCTTCGCTGGCTGGCCCTGCCCATAGCCTGGCCCGAGTGCTCCCTCCGGCGTGTACTCCCTGATGCTGCAGTGCCTGCACCCCTCACCTGACCACCCAGGACCCGTCACCATCGCTGCTGATCACAGATTCCCAGAAGCTGTGTTTTCCCAGTGTCACCTGGACTGTAAACATCTGAGCTCCCCGAGGGCAGGCTGTTACCCCATCCCTGCCCCACAGCACAGCGCCATCCCAGGCCTGTAGACACGGAGACCACAGGGTGCACCAGCCGTGAACCCAGGACAAATGGGCTTTGCTGCTTGTCCCCCAGGCCCTGCCCAGGGCCGAGTCAGCGAACAGTGTGGCGGGAGGCTTCAGGGCCGGACACCTGGAGCTGCGGACCAGGGCATGACCATGGCAGCTGCCTGCAACTGGAGCCCATGAGCACGGGGTGGGGTGGGGGGGGCGTCTTGTCAACTCCGATGCTCTTAACCCTACAAGACTCTGAGGAGTGAAGGGGGTGGCTGCTAATGGCGCTACGGTTTCCTCTCAGGATGAGGAGAAAGTCCTGGAACGTGGTGGGTGGGGGGTAAGGGTGGCACAGCTCTGTCCATGACTTAAATACACTAAAACTGTGAAGGTAGAAATGGATCCTTTTAAGGGACGAAAATCTCATCTCCGTTATAAAAACGGGGGAAAAGGGAAAAAAAGGTCAGCTGGGCAGGAAAACGCCCAGATAGGCAAATTTATTGACAGAAGTTGGCTGGGGATGGGGGCGGAAACACTGGAACGCCCGGTGAGGGGCCGGCTGCGCCACTCGGTACCCTGTATGTGGGTGAGCCACGTGTTGGGTGACTTACACCTCAAACCAGCTCTTACCTCGAAAGAGAGCAGCCCTCCGGCGGGCAGTGTCCCCCGAGCTTCGCCGCTGCTTCTGGTAAGCCAGCGCAGGCGCATGCGCGGAAGCCCCTTCCTCTCGCGAGAGCTGCACGTGCGGGCTATGCGGCCAGTGAGCCCTGCGACCTCTCCTGCTCCACGAGGATGCCCCTTTGTCTCGCGAGAGCTGCACGTGCAGACTGCGAGGGAGCCCTGAGACTTCTGCTGCCCCAGAGGGGGGGGGGGGGAAAGCCCCTTTTTCTCGCGAGAGCCGCAAGTGTGGGCCGCGCGGTCCGAGAGCCCTGCAACTTTTGTTGCCCCGCAGGTGGACCGGCTGGGCTCATGCCGCCGAGTCAGGCTCTGGGGCATCTCAGCCCCTTCTGGCATCGAACGGCAGGTGTGGACCCACTGTTTTGGGGGCATGAGTACAACTTGTGGAGTGCACGGACCACCTAGAGCCCCCCATAGGCGCAAGAGGACAGTACTCGGTGCCTTGGGGTCGGGTCTCCACAGCTGGCTCGCCCGAGGATGAGTTGAGACGCTGTGCACGGGGCAGGGCAGTGCCCTGGTGCCCGCAGCCGGTCTCTCCAGTGGAGGGTCCACGCAGCCAGACCCCTGTCCCCCTCGCGAACCCGCATCTGCCCAGAAGTGCCCTGGACCGAACCGGCCCCCGATCAGCCCCACTCTTGGCCATTTCTAGGGTCTTCACTATGGGATAGAGACCATGGCGCTCAACCTACAGACACACCTGCTACCAACTTCCGCTTCTTAGTTGGTTTGTGACTGTGAGCAAAACAAGCCAAGTGAGCAGGGAGTTGGCCCTGCCCTCTCCTGTTGTGGCGCCCTGGGCTCCGAGGGAGTCTTGGCTTGTGCTCCGGGAAGCGCTGGGTTGGCGCCTGGGTGGAGTTGTGGCAGCCTGTCCCGTGTCTTGCAGATGAAACCGTATCAAGGGTAGAGTCTTCGCGATAGCGCGCCCCTGCACACGCGTTTTTCTCAAACCTTTAGGGCCTACGATCGGTTCCCACCAGCAGACGACGGGGCTGAACACCGGAAGCTGGGTGTTGGGGACACCTAGCCTAGTGAGCTGGACTTCCTGACCATGTGCTGTGGTCGCCCCACCCACCGCCTGATGGACCCCGGGCTCACGGAGAGCTGTCAGGGCCGTGGGGGCGGCAGTGCAGGCGACCTGTCATTGCGGGTCTTGCAGGTTGAGGGAAGCGCCCACAAATGTACGAGGTCGGTGCTGCCATGTGGCCTCTGGGGCTCCACAGACCCGCCCACCGGCACGGAGCGCTCGGCCCGCAGGTGGAGCCCACCGGGCACGCTGGCTTCCCAGAAGTTTCCTGACTCTCTGAGCCTGTTTCCTTCTCCAAACATGGAGTTGGTCACACCAACTTGCAGAAGGTGGTGGCGAGGCCAGGTGAGATGTGACTGGAACGCCTGGAGCCCGATTTGATGCTGGGGCCGCTGGAAACCTGAGCCCAGGAATCGGCCTGGGGGCGGGGCCTTCGCTCACCTCCTCCCTGCGGTGCTTCTGTGGCCTGCACATTAGGGTGCCTGGGGGCTCTTGGCTGGCGTGAATGGGGCCAAGCTCTCGGCCAGGTGGAGCCCTGGCCAGGGACTCTGAGCGCTGGCTATCTTGGGAACCAGCAGAGTGGCGCCTCCACTGATGCCCACGGAGTCTCCAAGTCTTGTTCTTCAGTGCCCTGGGGCCATTTGCTGACAGCTGGTCTCACTGGGTCAAGGAGGCAGAGCCATTGAGATGGCCCATTCCTACCGGGTGGGGTCCCAGCCCCCCCTTCTCGTCCCCCTGGGTGGGGCAGCTGGGAGAGCTCCTCATCAGTTCAGCTCATTGGCTCATTGAGGGCCACACTGATTAACACCTGCTCCTGGCCAAGCCTTGGGCCCGCCTGGGCTTCCACAGCCTGGTGGAACCATGCAGTTACCTTCTGTGCAGGTCTGCAGTAGGCCAGGCAGAGGCAGCTCCTACAGCAGGGGCCGGGCTGGGCTGGCCTGCCTGTAGGTCTGCTGTCCACTGTGTCTGGGGCCAGCCGCCCACCTGGCCTGGCTGGAACCCCCAGTATCTATTGGCCGGATGAGTGGACGTGCCAGGTGTCAGGGGACCAAGCCCAGCATGGAGTCGCATGCTGCATGGGGGTGCATTGGCTCCCTGTCCCTTCACCCCCTCCCTTTCTCCCCTGTCCTCCAGGACTTGCCACTCCCGAGCCAAGGCTGAGGCAGCCCTCACAGCGGCTCAGAAGGCCCAGGAGGAAGCTCGGATTGCCAGGATCACTGCCAAAGAGTTCTCCCCTTCCTTCCAGCACAGGGAGAATGGTGAGTCTGCAGAGGGCTGGGGGGCGGGAGCAGAGGGTGTGGCCGGCGCCCTCTGCTGTGTCCCCTGAAGCCGCCGGGGCAGACTCCCCGTGATGGCCCTGAGGTCCTGGCGCCTGTGTGCCTCCGGCGGCCTATCGGTGCCCACTCACGTCCCTTGCACCACAGCATGTCCCTGGGTGAACACACCCGTGTCCACGTGCTCCTCACCTCTCTCCACCAATGGGGCACCGTGAGCTCTGCTTGTTCACGTGCCGTCACCACTCCCTGACCTTCCACCAGCGGTTCTGGAACTTTCTGCAGTGGTGGAAACGTTCCGTGCCTGCTCTGTCCCCGCCGGTGACTCCTCGCCTCGGGAAATGCAGACAGCCTGACTAGGAGCTAAATCTCATCTGTTAAATTTCCATTAACCTACATTGACGTGTAAGTCACCACTTGTGACTAGTGGCTACCGTTAGGCAGCACAGCCCGGAAACAACAGCTCTGCTGCTTCCTCTGGAAGGTGCTGGAAGGTGCTGGATTGCTGGAGCTCTTCCTGCCCTCCAGGGGGTGGGGCTTCAAGCCAGTAGGATCTACCCTGGGATCTGGCTCCTGTGAGCTGAGACTTGTGTCAAAACCTGTTACAAGACAGCTTGATTGGGCCTGAGGCTGTAGTAACAGATGGCGTGGCGCAGCGGTGATAGGCAGCTTGGGACAGGCCCTAGGGTGATGGGTGGGTGGCTCAGGGCAGCAGTCATGGACACACAGCTTAGGTGAGGGACTGGGGTGATGAATGGATGGCTCAGGACAGGGTGTGGTGCACTGGTGACGAACAGCTTGGGACAGGGCCTGGGGGTAGGGATGTGGGGAAGCTGGGTGACTGAAGGCGGAGATGCCCACTGAATTCCCTGGCCCGACAGCCAACAGTGTTCTCCTCGTCTCCCTGGCCTCTCAGACGCTGTCTCTGCGTCAAAAGCCCTGAGAAGGGACCTAGTCAGCCCTGGGGCTTCAGGGTGGGATGAGGGTGGAGCTGCCAGGGACAGAGATGATGGAGCCAGAAGGCACAGGGGCACTGCCCATCTGTCCTCATCCGTGAGGTGTGCATCCTCAGACTGGATGAGCATGTGGTTCTCACCCTGTCAGTGTGGTCTTCCTGTCCACGGAAGCCTTTGCCTCCACCTGGAGAAAAGCCAAAAGCAGAGTAGCGCCCCCATCCCCAAGGCTCCTGCTCCAAGCAGGTGACTGCCACCAGCTCAGGGTTGTGCCCGAGAAGCGAGTGGACAAAGCTCTTACAGGAGACAGGTGCGAACACAGAGACGGCCCCGTGAAGACAGAGCAGAGAGGGAAGGGAGCCATGTGCCACAGGCAGGGGGCCCCAGATGCTGGAAGAGGCAGGAAGGACCTGCCCTGGGAGCCTCTGAAGGGAGCGTGGTCCTGCCCACACCCTGACTTCTGCTCTGGCCCCAGCACCGAGAGGACACAGGGCCACTGTTCAGGCCCATCCTGGGTCCTCCCCTGCAGTGGCCGGGACACTCACTTCCTGCTCCCCAGATCCAGGGCCAGGCTGAGACTCCTCCCGGACGCCTCTGCTCTGAGTCCTGCTGTGGAGACCGGCTGCTGCCGTCTCTGTGGCCGCCGTGGGGGAGGCCAGCGTGCCGCTACATGGCTGTCAGTGTCACAGTAGCCCCCAGCAAGGTCTGAAGGGGATCAGCTGCACCATCTGGCCTGCCGGTTCCGGCGCCCTCGTCCGCCCCAGTACGTCAGGGCCTGGCTCAGTGCCTGCCTCCCAAGTCGCCACCTCCTCGGCCCTTGCTTGTGGCCTCACCTGCTGGGAGAGTTCACACCCTGGGCCTGAGGGCTGGCATCTGCCTTGCGCTGGACTCATCTGCCAGACTTCCAGGCATTTAGATCCCTGACATGCCTGGGACTGGGCGTCTGCAGCCACACAGCAGAGAGGGGCAGGGAGTGGACGCCGCCGCGGTCTTTGCCCTCCCAGCTGGGTTTGCTACCCCTTCTCACAGGCAGGGGCCCCAGACGCTGTGACAGAGGACAGATGTGAGGCTGGCGAGGAGACACTGTGCTGAGGCCTTGGCGGAGCACCTGTGAGCCTGTGTCTGCTCTGAAGCCGCTGCGCTTGCATTTCTGTTGTCGGGTCGAAGTTCCCATGACCACCATCTCAGCTGGCCTGACTTGGCAGCCCCAGGGGGCTGAATGTCCAGGCCGCCTGGCCTTGCCCGTGGCCCCCAGGCTGTGTGGCATCAGGACTGTGCTTGAACGTTCCTGACAACAGCCCAGCCCTGAGCCCAGCGAGGGAGAGAGCACACAGACCAGCGGGGGCCTGTACGCAGACCCCAGGACAGGAGGGACATGCAGGCGTCAGCTGCCAACACCTCGCATCTGGCTTTGCTTTTTCATGGGTACACTTCCAGGAGCACCACGTGCTGAGGGACTGACCTTAGCAAAATGCAGCCCCCTGGCTGCCAGGCTGGCGCCAGCTGAGCAGAGGGTCCCAGCCCCTCAGGGAGACCAGGCCTCGGGTCCTGGCAGGACTCACAGGGCCCCTGGGGTGCAGGGCACAGAAACACTGGCCTGGGAGGTCTCAGCCCAAATGGGCGGGTGGGGGTGTCAGGTCCCCACTCCCGCCAACCCTCAGTGCATCTGCATAACCACCCTCTGGGCTTCTGTTCCCCCTCAAGGGCTTGAGTGCCAGCGGCCGAAACACCGGAACTCGAGTGATGACCTCGAGGTGGCCTCAGCAGGGAGCCCCCTGCCCCAGGAGAGCCCTGAGCTGTACCGGAAAGGCACGACGCCCTCGGATCTGACCCCGGATGACAGCCCCCTGCAGAGCTTCCCTGCCAGCCCCTCCGCCAGTCCACCACCGGCCCCCAGCGCCCGCAACAAGGTGGCCCACTTCTCCCGGCAGGTGTCAGTGGACGAGGAGCGGGCCGGGGACATCCAGGTGCTCCTGGAGGGCCGCAGTGGGGACTGTGCACGCGACAGCTGGGCTGGCGACAAGGCCGGGGGCCCGCGGGGCGTCCGCGGGGGCGGTGCCCTCCGCAGTGGCCAGCCGGCAGATGACCACCGCCCCCGGGGCCCAGGCCACAGGCAACCCGGCAACCCCCGGCCCCGGGAGCGACGGACGGAGTCGCCCCCCGCCTTCGCGTGGACTCCCCACCCACGGGCCGGCAATCCCAGCTCGGGGGGCGGCATGCTGCTGGCGCTGGACGAGGAGAGGCTGAGCAACTACGAGATGGAGATGAAGCCACTGCTGCGCGTGGACGTGGCCGCGCAGGGCGCACACCCCCACAAGAGGCGCTGGGGCAAGGGGGGCACGGGCCGGGGCCCCGCCGAGGACCGGGGCTTTGGGGCACCGAGACCACGGCCCAAGGCTCAGAACAAAGAGAACTTCCGGCCGGCACCCGCCTGCACCGAGCCTGCGGTGCAGAAGCTGGCGAGCCTGCGGCTGGGGGACAAGGCAGAGCCACGGCTGCTGCGCTGGGACCTGACCTTCTCCCCACCCCAGAAATCCTTGCCTGTCGCCCTGGAGTCCGACGAGGAGAACGGGGATGAGCTCCAGTCCACTTCGGTGAGTGGCCAGGGCGTGGGCCTTACTCTCTGTCTGTTGGTGCAGTGACATGGGGTCTCCTTGGGGTGGTGACAGAACCACAGGGCGACCAGGGACAGCAGGATGTCAGTCTCCGTGGGAAGCTGGGACCCTCACCGCACCCTGTAGGGGGCCGACACCCCAACGGTGTCAGCCAGCAGGGTCAGCTCTCCTCAGATGGAGCAGTACGAGCGTGCTCCCTGCGCCGTCCTCCCAGGCAGAGGTCAAGGGGATGTCAGAGCCCCTGGTGAGAACAGGTGGCCGGGACCCCCCAAGAACATTCTGCTGGCTCTCAGGGGGTTCGGCCGAGCAGGGGCTCAGTGCTGGTCATGGAGATGTCCCTGTTCCCAAGGAGCACGGCCAAGTTCAGAAAGTGCGGGGCCTTGTGGGGTGAAGAGGAGGCTAGCCAGGTGGCACGTCAGTCTCCAAGCACCTTTTACTTAGGAGCCCAACATTGGCCAATCGCGGGGGACACAGCCACCTAACAACGCAAATGCATCTCCTGTGTCCACACAGCCAACATTTCAGCAGGCCAGATGGAAGGGGTCGTGGTTCACTCTATGCAGTGTTTGGGGAAACATCTGTTCCCACCCCCACACAGCCTGCTTTCCAATGAGGGGCATCTGCTGGGTCTGTGGGTCTCCACTAGGGGCACCCCACACACCCTTGCTATCTGAGGAGGGTCCTGGCAGTTGGGGTTTTATTGAGCCCTGTAGGGGGCAGGGCTCATAGGCAAGGACCCCTGGGCTAACCCCCTAAATGCACTCCTTGCCACGCAGGCATGAGGCGCAAGACTGAAGCCTCCCAGCGCCCACCCTGGGCAGGCTGGGTGTGAGGGGCTCGGGGAGCCCAGGGTCTCACCCAGGAGGGGTCTGGAGCTTCTCACTGGAGCTTCCACCAAAAGTGTGGGGGAGCCGGCACCCTGGACCGACACAGGCAGAGGGCCGTGGAACGCGCTCACACCCCACAGCAAGATGCTGGCGGGTGACCCAACCTAGGCCATCGGCAGGAGCTCACGGGCACCATTCCCTGCTGGGGACCCTATCCCCACCCCAGGCTGGGAGTGACAGCGTGCTTCCTTGAGGACTCCAGTCACCAGGACTGAGGTCACCTCACTGATGCAGCCTCCAAGGCTACCTGCCACGGGGCCTCCACTGTGTCTCTTACAGGCTGAGGTGAGATATGTCCACTGCACCATGGGCCTGGGGCCCGCAGGGAGAACCCATTGTTGAAACACTGACCTATGGAGGGGGCACTTCCCATCAGAGGGTGGCCTGCTGGGCCCTGCTTCCCCTCACAGAGAAAGCTCTGTGGCTTCTGTCTTTCTTGCTGGTGGCTGGTTCCTAAAATACCCTCTACTCACCAAGAGAAAGCAGTCCATGTCCCGAGGGACCAGTGTACCATTGCTGCCACGCCATGCTCCATCTCAGAGTAGCCAGAAAACATGTGTACATGCGATGCATGTGCAGTACGTGTGTATGGGTGTGGGGGGCCTGCATGTATGTATAGGCTGTATGTGGGCATCTACAAAATTGCATGTGCACTTGGTCTCTGTGCACACGTGTACATGTGGCCTGTGTACATGTGATAAGTGTGCATGTGTGTGCTCTGAATGTGGGGGGTGCTGTGTGTGCAGACTGCATGTGCATCTACAAAACCGTGCATGTGTGCATATGCACTCGGTTTGTGTGGATGTGTGTGCGTGTGCCCTGTGTACCTGCCAATAGCATGTGTGTGTCTGCTCTGCATGTGTGGCCTGTGTACATGTAATACATGTGCACGTGTGCTGTGTGTGTCCTAGGAATATGCAACACATGTATGCATGTGTGTGCTCTGCATGTGCATGGCCTGTGTACACGTGATACGTGTGTGTGTGCGCGCGCTAACATACTTTAGGAGGCAGCTGGGGTCCACACTGAGCCCTCTGGACATGCCAGCACGGCCCCCAGTGTAGATAGTGCATGTGGATCGGTCTCAGGCTGGCCTCACAGCTGAGCTCCTTCCCACATGCTTGCCGGCCATTGGTGCCTCGTTGGAGATGGCCTGTGCGAGCCCTCTGCCCGCTGGTCGGCTGGCTGTGCTCACTACGAGTCCTGGAGTGCCTCACGTGGTGGACGCCAAGTCCCTAGTCAGATGTTCATTTGCAGCTTTCCTCCCGTTCCATGGGCTCCTTTCTTGTTCTTGATGAAAGCACTGACGTCCTTTGTGGGGATGGGGCCCCATGTATTGATCTTCCCTCTGGAAGCCTGTGGGGGCCTGTCCTCTGACAGCCAGACCTCTGGGCAGCAGAGGGGGCCTGGGGCAGGCAGCCCTCTGCCAGGCCCCAGGTGCGGACAGCATGGCGTGGGACCCAGGCGGGCTCTCGCTGCCCCTGCACTGTCTGTGGAGCTAGCTAATGACCTGGCTGAGCCTAGCTCTCCGTTTCTGCAGAGGCACACAGCAGCTACTTCCTGGGTGGGCAGTGAGTTTTCTGAGATAAAAATGTTATGCTTGATGGCACGCCCCTTCCTGAACAGACCTGACTTCAGCACAGAGCAACTGGTAGGGTCTAGGAGGGGCTACCTGTGAAGGGACAGGCATTCTTGGACCACTGTGGCCTCGGGTCCTGAGGTTCTCCTTGGCCCCTCTGTGGCCTTGGGGACTATTCTCCCTAATGAGACAATTCCATAAATGACCAGGGCCCTAAGCCGCACCACCGGGGACTAACAAACTAAAGTGGGGCCATTGCCACACTGCGTGTCTCAGCGGTAACAGCACAGGGAAAGCCCACAGCAGCCCTGGGCACTGAGGCCAAGAGGCTGGCTCGGGTGTTCCTATGGAGACCTGGCCCTCTCACCCATGTCAGGTCTGGGCCAGTATATGCCTTGGCCTGGCACATCCCACCTTCCCAGAGGCCTCATGACCACTGCTGTCCGGCCGCCCAGGCCGCAGTTGCCCTGAGGTCCGCTTCCCACCCATGCTCTGTGGCGGAATTTTTGGAAGTAGCTTGCCAGGTCTTTTTTGTGAGGCATTTCTGAGTTTTGGGGAAATGAGTGGGGCCAGGCCCAGAGGGCGCCTGGCCCAATAGACCATGACAGCAACACTCACCTCCCTGCTCTCCTCTGTTCCAGGGCTCGGCGCCAATCCTGGTTGTCATGGTGATCTTGCTAAACATCGGAGTCGCCATTTTGTTTATTAACTTTTTCATCTGATGGGATTGTCAACGTTAGCAAAAAATAACAGTTCATGTCAAAAGGGGGATAGCAGCAAACAACAGGAAGGACAGGGTAACTCACAGTCCAACACCCGCTTCCAGGTCTTTTCCCGGAAGGACGATTGGGTATTATCACAGTCTGCCTTTTTTCTGGGTAATGTTTTTTGGATTTTAGCCAAAATTCTTTGCTTGTATAACACTATGCTGTGTGGTGTGGCAGACGAGGGCCACCACACCGACCCTCCCAGCTTGACGTGTGGCAGGAAGGGACCCTGGCAAGTCTACGGCAAAAAACGACATCACCGTCGTCATGGTCCTCATTGTCGCTGTCACACGATCTAGGAAGCCTACTTTCCTGCCAGGATACGGGAAAGCTGTGCCTCGGGAAAGCGAGCCCTGTGTTGCCGGGAGAGGGGGCTCCTCTCGGGTCCCTGTGGGAAGCCAGTCGCGTTGCTCTCATGGCGACAAGGATGCGGGAGGCAAGGGGATGGTGTCTCCTCCTGGCCACTCCCACTGGCCTCTTGCAACGTGGAGTCTGCACCGAGGTGCGTGGAGAAGGGGGAGGAGGCCACCTTGTCCTCTCAGCACTGCCCCATGGCTTCCTGGAGAAGCCAGACCCCACACTGCATCTAGTGAGGCGGCGGCCTCCTCCTTCCTGGTGTCTGTCATGTCTCCTATGTGCCTCTCGCTGGTCTCGCACCCGACGCTTGGGAAGCCGTCAGGCAGCGTCCAGGGGCTGCCATAGGTTCACCCTGGCAGGTCAGAGGGACAGCAGGCCGGGAGTGGGGTCACTTTGCAGTGACTGCAACCCCGTGCTTGGTCTCTGAGCGTGTGGCCTGTTTGCACTTCTGTGCAGCATGCACATTCAGGCTCCCAGAGTGACCCCATAAGGCATCGGCGGCAGTGACAGCCCTTGGAGGACACCTTCATGGGGTGTCACAGCTCCACGGGGGTGACATCCTGGGCCGCCCCTGCCCTGACCACTCACTGACATATGCACACTCCTTCTGGAAGCCTTGCTGATCCTCCAAAGCTGGTCTGGGCCCAGGGACAGGACGAGATTTCTGACTCAGTGGGTTGGAAATTCCTAAGCAACTGCCGCTTACCCCTGTTCCCCACAAATTGTACAATATAACTTGTTCCAGGAAAACAAAAAACCCAGGTTCATGTTTTGCCTCCCCACCTCGTCCCATCATCCCATAAAGAATGAACAAGGCCAGCCTGAGTGGCTGGCCACCGAGGTCCTAGCTATGGAGGCAGTCCTGGCCGATGTGCAGGTGTGGCTGTGATGAGCAGACACCCCTGGACACTGGATGACCACGTGCACACAGGGGCAGGTCCTCCCAGACATCGGTCTCGGGGTCAGCCCGTCTGGGGACACCAGCGCGCACGCTGGGGCAGGTCCTCCCGGACGCCGGTCTCGGGGTCAGCCCGTCTGGGGATGCTGCCTTGCTTTGCTATGCTCAGCGCCCTGCCACCTTCCGGGCAGGCTCCTTTACTACCACTGCACTGGATCGCTATATTTTTAACCAGAAATAAACTACAGACTAGAGCATGGCCCACTTAAATCTGTTTTTTTTTTTTTAATGTTTTCTCTTCTGTTATACAGTGATGCCCCATTCCTTCTCAGTTTCGTTGCGTTTGGGGGTCTTTGTTGGCGCTGGGGACACAGGAGAGGGAGGGAGGACCGGCTGGGGACACATTTCTGATCACGCAGCTTCCTTTCCCGCTCTGATTTAATACTGAGTGGTTGCTGCAGACCTGAGGTGGCCCTGACAGCTTCCCGTTCCCTGCAGCTCTGAGAACCATCCACACTGGGATATGTGTTTTTTAACTGTTGGTGACACTTCTGTACGTTCCAGTGACTGCATGACAGAGCGGTACCTATCAATGCCGGTCCTGTACTTACACGGAACACCATGAGCTACTCAGATACTTATGAAGCAACAGCGCAAAACACACGTTAAATCAAAGCACGAGTGTTTTCGTGTCCAAGTGGCTCACTGCTGACTGCCCGCCACCAGGGAGCCCCACTGTCACCCTATGCACAGGGATGCAGGTGGGGGCCATGGAGGTGGAGAGGCTTCGAGGCTGTGACTTCGGTTTCCAGGTCACGTGACTGAAGCCCAGGTGGCCCGGGCAAGGTGCAGGCCACTGCCTTCCCCTTATCACAGGCCTCCCCACCTCTGCCAGCTCTCAGGCTCCTTACTCCAGGCAACTGGGCCTGCAGAACAGTGGAAGGGCTGACCCGGTGGCACACAGGCCCAAATCAACCTGCTGAGAACCATGCATGCCCCGCTCCGAGGGTGACCCGCTGAGGCAAAGCAAGGGAGCCAGGAAGCTGCCCTTGCATCTGGTCCTGCAGGGCCGGAAACGCCTGTGCCCTCAGTGGCCGAGTCCTCTGCCCCACCCACCCAGGTCTGAGGCGGCCACCTGCGTCAGGTCCATCTGTTTCCGGAGTTGCGGTCTTAGGTCTCATCATCCTTAGCACACAGGATCCCCAAAAGTACAGGCCAGGTATGAAGTGGACACCAGAAAGCAGACATGGCACGCCCCCGGTAGCTTCAGAGATGCAGTGCCAGCTGACTGAGCCTGGGGTGGGGGGATATGGAAGCACCAGGCTGACAGGGCCTCTTCTGGGGAGACACAGAGCCACGTCTCAAGCCAAGATCCCTTTGGTCAACGCTTCACTCTCCCAGTGGGAGCCACATGCACACCACAGAGCAGCAACTGGGCTTGGCACGTCCTACCCCAGTGGCTGCCTGCAGAAGACGCAGTAAGGGAGCGGGCCGGGCCAGCCCTGGGCCTCAGGAATAGCAGGTCCGCACGAGCCGACTGGCGCTGCAGCAGGATGACCAGGCACGTGCGACCCTCACCTGAACCCTGCAGTCATTCCCAGGAGCCCAGTCTCCAGGCCGTGATGGCCTCAGGAGGGTCTGTTTCGGGGAATAAGTGAAATAAATTATTTTGAGTTTTGAGGCTTTTTAATTTGGGCTCTTTGGTTATTGCTAAAATACTCCCCGGTGTCTGGAACCAGTGTGTCTTATGTCTCTCGGCAGGGCTTTCATCTTGAGGCAGTTCTCTGTGGGGTCTCCAGGGATGGGAGAGCCCTGAGGCCCAGTGGGCTGCTCCCCAGACTTGTACTCAGAGATGCCGGCAACTCGGTCCTGCTCAGGGGCCACTACTGCAGACAGGCAGGCCCGGCTGTGGAAGGGCTCTGCCACCATTGGTCCCTCGGGCCACCAGCCATGGGTTTCAGGTGGATGGAGTGGCTTCAGGGGACTCCAACTCTGGGCTCTTCTGGCACTGACAGGGCAGTGTGGTAGAGGAAAGCAGTCCCTGGTCCCCCTTTCTCCACATTCCAGCTTCCAAAGACCCTTGCCCTCCTGCCAGGAAATGGGCATACCCACTGTTCTGTTTAGGCCAAAGTTTTTAAATAAACTTCAGGGTAGTCACTAAGGAGCTCTAATGGTGCAGTGTTTAAGGCATCTGACTGCTAACTAGAAGGTTTGCAATACAAACCAAGCAGCCACTTCTAAGGAGGAAGATGGGGCAATCTACTCCTGTAAAGATTCACCACCTCGGAAACCCGAGGGAGGTTGTTGTGAGTTGGAATCGACTCGACAGCATGAGCTTGGTTTGAGTTTAAGGGCGGTCGCCGGGGGCCAGTGGCTCCATGTGCCCCATCACTGGACACTAAGCATCCACGCACACCTACTGGGCAGGACAGAAGGGGAGCCAGCAGCACGGGCAAGACTTTGAGGCTGGATTTAGGACTCCAGCTAAGCAAACAGAAGCAGCCTTGGGCAACTGGCCTTGGGCAGGTGGCTTTAGGGTGGAGCCTGGGTTGGCTGGGCAGTACCACGTGGTGATGGCCTTAAGGCCAAGGGGAAAGGACTAGAAAGACGACCCCGGTTTACCCAACACGTCCGCCCACTCACATGACACCCGGAGAGCAGAGCCAGTGGGCAGGCTGGCCCAGGCACGGTGCTTTATTGAAAGGTCAACAGGAACGATGTGTTGCTCATTCAGGAACCAGACGTAACTCTACAAGGTGACAATGTGTGGTCCGGTGGCACATCCTCCTGTGAGGGCCCTCCCCACACACGGCAGCATGGCGAGGCCCTGGTGAGGGGCTGGGAAGAAGTCCCTGCCTGCGGGTACTCCTGCAAGGCCTCGCCCTCGTTCAGGGGGATGACCAGTGCCATGTCCCCACATCACACAGGTCCCCACAGCAGGTGCGGCTCTGTGCACCAGGCCGGTCAGTGGAATAGGCACTGTACCAATCCATCTCTGTGGCCACCTCGTGGCCAGTCTCGGCCATCCGATGAAGCACCCAGGGAACACAGGCCACTCAATTGGACTCCAGCCTCAGGGTCGCGCTGGAACTGAACCATCAAAGAACTGCTTTGCCTTCGCCTGGGCGGCTCTCAGCACCGTCTTCTCCTTGGCATCAGGGCCCAAGCTCTCTCGGGCCCAGGCCACCCAGTGTTGCTCCGTCCTGCCCAGGTAGTCTACATAGCTCTCTGTGCGCTCCACCAGCGGGGGCCCCTCATCTGCTTGCAGGGAGAAGGTGAAGGAGACAAGCTAAGCCAAGGCAGGCCCATGGGGCGGACTGGCGTGAGGCCTGGCCACACCAGGATGGCCCCAAGCCACACATGCCACAACCCCTTGGCTGTGATGGCACATCAGGCATTCACAAAGGTTTAATCCAAGTCCTAGAGCAGCTCGTTCACGAGCACAAAGCAGGCTCAGAGGACGGAGTCGACGCTGACGAGCCCACAGCACTCTGCCCCGCAAGGCTTGGCCAAGCCAGTGGGGTGGGTGCCCACCAGAGAAGGCATGGTACTGCAGTCAGCAGGAGTCCAGGGCACCTCCCAACACCGTCAGATACAGCACCATTCCGCACTCACCCAGAGGGGTGACTGGGTGGCCATGCCATGTAAAATTTAAGGGGTCAGCCTGAGCACCACCCTCCTCACATTTAAACCTGCGTTCTCACTGTGAGGTCGGTGTCCTCACTGAGTTTCCTGAATTCTCCTCTCTACAAGTTACCTGTGTCCCCTTCACCATGAAGGCCCTTTACCCTTCTCACTGTTAAGTACCTGCATCCTCCTCACTGTGAGCAACAAGAGTTACCTGTGTCCTCCTCACTGAGTTCCCGTCCCACTGTTTCCTGCGTGCCCCTCACTGAGAGGTACCCGGATCCTCACTGTGAGCGCCATGTGAGTTACCTGTGTCTTCCCAAATTCCCATGTCCCCACTGTTTCCTGCGTGCTCCTCACTGAGAGGTACCCGCATCCTCACTGTGAGCACCGTGTGAGTTACCTGTGTCTTCCCGAGTTCCCGTGTCCCATGTTCCCTGCGTGCCCCTCATTGAGAGGTACCCGCATCCTCACCGTGAGCGCTGTGTGAGTTACCTGTGTCTTCCTGAGTTCCTGTGTCCCATGTTCCCTGCGTGCCCCTCACTGCGAGGTACCCGCATCCTCACTGTGAGCGCCGTGTGAGTTACCTGTGTCTTCCCGAGTTCCCGTGTCCCATGTTCCCTGCGTGCCCCTCACTGCGAGGTACCCGCATCCTCACTGTGAGCGCTGTGTGAGTTACCTGTGTCTTCCTGAGTTCCCGTGTCCCATGTTCCCTGCGTGCCCCTCACTGCGAGGTACCCGCATCCTTGCTGTGAGCGCTGTGTGAGTTACCTGTGTCTTCCCAAG